AAAAAAAAAAAAAAAAAAAAAAAAAAAAAAAAAGCAAATAAAAGTCATAGCCGGTTCTACAACAAAAACTGTTGCATTAGCCTCCGCTTCTGATTCCTATAATCTAGAGACCAATTAAAATTTACTAAACTAAGTGTTCGTCTTCTTCTTTATTTTATAAGGCCTAAAATTTGCCAACTCGCAATGTAGTCAACGATGCAAGAAAAAGTAGCTGTAAGGGATTCTGAACTACGATGAAACGATAGCAGATTCAGGGTTGCATTTGCGCAACGCCGTGCTACTCAATCCTCACTGTAAGTTGACTACGGTGCCTGATTAAGATTAGAGATCAAAAAATGGAATCATTCTGTTCCAAAAAGCAAATTTTTAGCGCAACAGTTGATAACAAAACACGACGTCTTCTGCAGCATTTTTTAGATCTAAATCTATAATAGCTACATAAAGCTTGTTGGTAGTGTAGATAAACTCAAAGGAACAATAAGAAGAGCTAAAGCATACTAATCTTTGATTAAAAACTTAAGTAGCAAAAGTGTAAATAAAAGAGGGTATTATGAACAGACGCTCGAAGCAAGATTTTTTTGATAGAGAAACTTATGAAATTAATAAAAATACTACAATAATGTATTTTTTCAGTAAAGAAAAAAAGTTTTATCTAAGATAAATAGGAAGTGAAATAAAAGTTGGTTTTTTTAAAAAGATATAAAGAAGAAACTAAAGGAAAAGAAAGTTTCTTCAGTCGATGAGGTAACTGAGGAAAACAGAAGAAATAAAAATTTCATTCAATTATACAATACGTGAAAACAGTTAATCTCAAGATTGTTGATACTACAGCATTTTATAGTTTTCTTGTAACACTAATTACACTTGTTCAGTCAAAAGACTTGAAAAAAGCGGTAAGAAAATAAAAGTTTCTAAAAAAGTTGCTTAAAGTCAAATAATCAGAAAAAAAAACTATAGAATACCTGCAAATAAAAAAAATTTATTGACATATTACTTGACTAAAAAAATGCTAACAAAATATTTATAGTTTCAACTATAATCATTTCACTATAGCCATCAGCTAGCTATTTAACCTCGAAAAACAAAGAATGCGTTAATTGCTGCAGCGTTAAAGGGCAAAAGTGTAAATGCTGACTGTGCTGAACGCAATTAATAACAAACGTTCGGTTTTCATTTTTGGTCGTCATAATGACATATTATCAAGAAAAAATCAAAAAATAGCAAAAAAAAAAGTGAAAATTGAAAGAACAATTACCTGAAGCTTCACTTCCTGGCCAGAAATAAGCAGCTGATTTCAAATGTTTTTT